ACTAGTGTTATCTCAATAATTTTCTTTGAGAGCAAAGATTCATAATCCTTTCCATATGGAACTGAATTTGCTCGATTAATAGAAAACTCTTTTCGATTTAGCGGTTTGATGGTTTGGTTTGGATATTTTGCTCACCCCTACTTATGGCATCAACTTTTTTTTTATCATTTTTTAATAAATATTTTATAATACTCTTATTTTATTTTTTACCTACGTCACTTTTATATAAAAATATTATTATTTTTTATCTTTCATGCTCAATCAAAAGTGCATAATGTGCCAGGACATAGAGAATATTTAATAAATCTAATGTGTAGAAAATTTATAATTTTAATATTTACATTAATTAAAAACATTTGAAGTAACTTTTTAATACAAATAGCGTTACATATTTTATGGTCTTTCAATACAACCTATTAGACATTCACATACTAAAGTAAAAACTATTTAATAGCATTTTATAAAATGATAATTCGGTTAAAAAACCAAGTACTTCATCATGCCTCTGATGTACCCCATTTTTATTTTAATGCACTATTTTTTCCCAACATATGTACCTGAACTCCGCTTTTAGGTACCTACATACTTTCAATAAATGCTTGTGAGAATTTACAAAATGACCAAAAGTATCAGTGATAGATTCCGAAATAAAATAAGAGTTTACAATCATTTGCATATAAATCTAAGGGATGTAACACAATATGAAAAATACTTCATCCTATTTTGATAATTAATTATCAAGATTATATTGAAATGGTTAGGGTGGTAATATGCTATCACACCAATGTGCTTTGACAGATCAACTACATACCCCCCAAATAATTTGTATGCCTCTGTTAAATTTCCAGAAACCCATGTCATCAAATTATTATACATAAAATAGGATTGTCATATACCCTTGTTCATGTTCATATACTATAGTACATCCAAGTTACAGTTGTAATTCTATACAACCAGACTCTTGTTGTTGTATATTCACCTACAACCAGGCTTTTGTTGTTGGATCAAGGGATCTTAGTGCAACAATTGAAAATGACTTTCTTCAATTTGATTTTACAATTAGTACAAATCAATATATCGATCCGGCTTCAACTAATCCGCCCTGCAACCCAAAATATGGAGACTTAAGCAAGATTAACGTAAAATCATTTTTGATAATAGAGAGAAGATTCATTGAGAATTACTAGAAACTATGAGACCTTCTCAAGATACTTGCCACGACAAATACAACCTATGATTGTCATATCTTTATATCAATATGATACAATATATTGTTCCAAACTTTTATAATGAATATTGTTAAACATAGTACAAACTATCAAAATTATTCTATATGCACAATCCAATCATCACAATATTGTAGCAATTACTATAAATGGATAACCATTATACTATAATGTGTATAATTAAGAACTCTAAACATCAACTCACATAATCCAAAAACTAAATAATTGTAGGTGAAAATATTTGGAAATGCATAGTTCATAGACACATCATAAATTTTTTTGAATACTACATCGATAATTTCATCTTACACAAATTGTAAATGACTAAGTTTAGGTATGAACGTTTGTTGGCACATCTTCATTTTCTATTACACTGATTAACATAAGAGCTCAAAATGTATTTTCAGTCTTGAAATTCTATCTACTAAAAACCTATATAAAGCATGTCACATCTCACACATAAAGAACATGACCTAATTTAAACAATCAACACAAAGTAAATAATTCACAATCAATCGGACATGATCATCAATAAATATTATGACATTGAGTGTATAGTGATTGGCTGGAACCCTCAAATAGTATATATTTTTTAAAAGAAAAATGACAACCCAACACTCTAGAAAGTGATTTATAAAATTCCTTGACATTAGGACAAACCTTTTTTGGGACATTTCATCGAACACATAAAGTGCACCATTCATATATTTATTTCACTAATATACACATAGTATGAATCCAAAAAAAAGTAAACTATCTAAAATCATATATTCTTATGGAATTCTAGTAATATAGTAATCCCCAATAGCAACAAATTACCCAATTTACAAAATAACAATTACGACCTCTTTCGCAAAATAGGAACAAAAATACTCGATAACAAAAAAAATCATCATCAAAATCACCCCAAAATTACCCACTTTACAAAACTCATATTTAATTTATAAATTCCTACTAGTTTTAAATGCAACAATATTTTTCCCAAACTAGCAATTTTCTTACTAATCCAAACACGATTGATACAAATACTAACCTTGGGATTTCTCCGATTGAACCGCCAGATGTCGATTTCGAGATCTCCGGTGACAACCCTTGGAATTTCTCTGATCGATCTGCGTGACCGCCGACGATAAAGAACCGATTCGACGGGACAGAGAAACGGCCGAATAGTGAGAAAATGGAGCGAAAAATCTGTCGGACGATGGGAGAAGAGAAGATAAATGAATCTTTCGCACTGCTGGAAACTGGGTGATCAGACGAGAGGTTGCTTCCGGCTTCACTGGAGAACGCTCAATGGTTTTAGGAGAATTTTGCGCGAAGAAAAACAACCAAAGAATGAGAGAAAGAGAAAGATCGAGGAAGAGGGGGTGAGAATGAAAAAGAAGCGAATGCATACAAAGAAATTAAAATTAGGGACTGAATCTCAAATCAATATTAGACAGGGGAATTTTAATCCAATTTTCCGTTTTTTTTTTATAAATAATAATTAATAATAATAATTTAATTAAATATATACAATATATATTATTTTATAAATAATAAAATTTTAATGAATACAACTTAATAAAAAATATAAATATATATTATAATTAACATAAAAAAATTAATACTCAAATTATATTATTATTAATTTCATAAATTTAATTAATACGTACTTATATTATTATTTTTTTTATCAATCAAATCAGTAAATATTAAAATCTTCAAATCCAAATAAAAAGAAACATAAAATCTCAAATCCAACTTAAAATTCAAATACAATCTAAAATCAAACCTTATTCTCTCAAAGTTATCCGAAAGAAACAACCCTATACTATAGAGATTAAAAAATAAAAATAAAAAGTTACATGCGGAGGTTGGTATCCACGCTAACATATATATACACGATTATTAAATGTTAAAATTTCCTATTTGAGTGTCTATTTTTGTACATAGTTTACAACGGAATTTATGTGAGTGAACTAACGAAATATTTTGTCAATATTCATTTAGCTTTAACATTGTATCGTGGAATCTGACAGTCTTTTAATACAATGTAGTCGTACGGTACTACTGCTTCCGTTACACATTGGAAGTCTGCGTTATTATAGACACAAGAATTTAAAATAAATATAATTAGTAGATAATTAAAAATTTATTAATAAAAATAATTATCTTATAATATAAATAATTATAAATTAACATTAAGATAACTATAATAAATTATTAAAAAAGAAAAGTGATATAACACGTGGAACGGACAGAAACGACAATGTGAATATGATAGGTGGAATGAATGAAGTATTTTTTATACAATTAATTGAAGGTGCTACATAACCATTATTTAAATAAAATTTTTAATAAAATAATAATAAAAAAGTAAAACAAAAACCTAGACTATGTTCCTGGGAGTATTTTGTTTTGATAATTTGTTACTATACAACTTTCCACTAAAATATGATTTCTCTATTCCATCTAAATTGGCTTACAAAATTTTGTAGTAGATTAAGAAAAATAGTACTTTTCTATCCAAGTTGAATATTCTTGCAAAACTTTTCTTAATAGATTAAAGAAAAATACTAATATCTTAGTTAATAGATTTTTATAATAGAAAAAAAAATCAATATACCCGTTTAAGTTAATGGAGTCAAAAGTGTATAATATTGATTATATTTTAATAAATAGTGATGAGATCAATGATAATTTAGGAATTGAATAGGAATATATAGTCATGGTATTCAGGTGGGACCTGACCTAAAAAAAATTTAAATTCAGTCCCTCTTTATTTTGAATGTATATTGCACTCCCTCCTTTTGATTTTCATTTACACTTGACTCCCTAATACCCATTTTACCCTTGAAATAATTATATAATGTAATGAATATTGTTTGTGCACCCATTATTTTTATATAAATCTATATTATCTAATTACATACTCTACAAAGAAACTGTAAAGTCATGTGCCTTAATTTTTTTATTTATGTACTGAAACAAGCCACGAGATGCAGCTCCCGTCAGTCCAAGCAACACGAAGCGTGAGTATTCTTTACATACCTATAGTTACGATTATCGTATCACATATGTAGAACAGTCATATCTCAAAATGTGTTGGATGTAATTGTTTTATTTTGCAGACCCAAGTCAAGTAACCAAGGCACTATTTGAAATCAAGACTCGGGCAACCGTGGACAAAGTGAGGGTTTATTTACGTTAGATATAACTATCTCTATTAGATGTAATTAACTTAAATTTACTATAATACCTGAAATCGTGTATGAATGCAGGGAAAAAATTTGACCGAAATGATTGATAGCACAATACCAAAACCACCAACAATGTTCGAGCAGGCTGAAATGTCCTAGCCGCAATGTGTTCAGATCCTCTCAATTACGATAGTGTTCCTTTTTTTGAGCTTCCGGCACATTCCGTCAACAACAATTGACACAACTCGTTGAGGAGAATATAGAGTTCAATAAGTGACATCGAATGCGGATGGGGGCAACGACAACTCGAGCATCCAAAGAGAGCAAATGACTTGTGTTCTAGTTTCCGTAAAATAGTGTATATGGATTAAAATGGGCATGGTTAGATGTGGTTGAATCATGCTCTCTTTGTGTTTTATGATCGGATGTTGTTCCACCGAAATTAGGTTGTCTACAAGTTCGATTAGCCTATCTATTTTGAACATGTTTTGTAATTGGTGTGCTATTTTTGTGAAGTTTTGTTTATAGTAGGTAATGCCAATGATATTACATACAAATAGACAATTGCAAATACATTCTTCATCATTTGTCATTAGAAAAATTACAATGCATACAAGTAGTTGCGAATACATGCCAATTCATTCGTCAACAACGACAATACAACCACTGTTATGGCAGAAATACAAAATAGATACAAATATAGTTAGTACGAAAATATGCGACAAAAGCAACCAAACAGCTACCTAAACAACTACCTTCAATCAACTATTAGGAAACTTTCATTGACCGCTATGTAATAACTTATCCAAACACATGTGATAATCGGAATAATTCAACATGCGCTAGAAATTTCAAGTTCCTAACTCGTTGCTTCAGAGACATAATTTCGGCATCTCCATCATTCAACTTCTTCAATAGACCTTGGATGATAGCTTTAGCTCGAGGGCATATAGGAGGATCTTCCCACAGAAAAAAACAACACCCTGCCCGTGTTCCTCTCTACATATGAGAAACACAATACAATGAGTGTTCTTCTTATACTATATTATCTGACACTAAATTTAACGTATAAATCCTTACCTTAGATTTCATACAACAACTGAATCTTCTTCCGGGATTGTCGACCATCCAAGAAGTGCGCGTTACAGACTTCGGTCCAAAATAACATTCTACATCCGCAACTACGTACGATGATGTTCCACCTCCGAACATTAACACATATCAAATAAATTACACCTGAAACAACGCTGAGTAAGATATAACATCAACCAAACAAAACTAACACAAAATCTGTACAATAATCAGTCCAAAAATTACAAAATTTTAGAAAAATTCATAATAAAAAAACTCACTCGAAGTGTGTTGGCTCTTCTCCATCTTCTACTTTACACACCGGCGTGTCGACGAAATGAACCGCTCGGGGGCATATCGGCGAGTCGGCGGCGGTGACCAAGGTGCTCGGAGATAGAATGGGAGAATTGGGGATCTAGGGCTCGAATGATGAGAAAGGGGATTGAGACTGAATTAATCGATCGGGGTTCTAATGTTTTTAATTTCGTGTTATTTGCAACTTGGCCCAATTTGACTAAATTGAAAATATGTTATTTGCAATTTCGTCCAATTGAGCCAAATTAGAATTAAAAAAATAATTATATTTCATTTTATTTTATTTTTTAAACTAGTGCCACGTCAGCCGCTGGAAAATGACACGTCGTGGTACATGTCTGCGTTGGTTGTATACACGTCGGCAATGGCGATTCCACGTCGGCACACGTGCCAGGCACGTGACATTTTTCGGCAGTGGAGGACATAAATAAGGCATTCGGAACACTTAGTGTCCTACTTTACAAAACCGGAAAAAAATGCCTAAAAATGATAATTTGACATACATAATGGATAATTTTTGCAATTTTCCCAAAAATATACACTACCAAAAAAATGATTATTTCTAGCGGAACTGAATCCACTACAAATGCTCATTTTTCGTAGCAAAAAACTGTGTGTGACGATTTTGTTGCGGAATTTGGTCGGTATGTTTCTCTTTTACTCGAGTAACAAAAAGTATGTGCCGGCACAATTGTTGTAACAAATGACGAGTGGTCAACGTCTGTGGAAGGACTTTTTGTTACGATATTTTGTATGTAGAAAAAGGTCAAATTCTTTTCGGTATAATTCATTGATGTAACAAATAATGCAGTACAAATATTTTTTGACAATTACAATATTTTTTTGTATCAATTTTTGTTACGCTTACTTGTTCATAGCATAAATTAAAAGTTGTTTTGTAACGAAGCATAGTCGTAACAAATAATATATTTCAAATGTTTTATAACATGCAAAAAATCTTTTTGTAACTGTTTTTGTAACAACTTTTCGTGACAAAAATTGATCACTTGTTTCTTAAATAATATTTTGTTACGACCTGAAGAGACAATTGTAATGATTTTTGTAACATATTTTTAAACAATAAACATAATTTTTTTTTTCATATTCCCTACGAAATCCATCATAAAACGTATAGTATAAGGGATCCATAGAAAATTACACTAACGATTGTGCTAACTTACGCGACAGGATTACATAAAGGGCAAACAAGCCAAAATTACATACTTATGAGCAAAATGATCACCCAATAAACTCTAGAGACGGCATAATTATAAACAAGCCTTGTTCAATCCAATATAGTAAAAACAAGTAAGGCATCATTCTAGGTTCAACACGTAAACATGGTGTGTGGATACTCATGAAACGTCAAAAGTACGGCGGAGAAACTCAGGTGTAGTGAACCAGCTGCAATGAATCAGTAGATTATATAAGTATTTAATTGAAAAATGAATAAATTACTACAAAAAATAAACCTTCAAAGATAAATTACATGCATCTTTGTATGTCCATTTGATAGGATCGACATTGACTACCTCACGACGGTACATGCTCCAACAATAGTTGGCAGAATAAATGCGGTCTCCGGAACTGTGGCAACGCCACAACCGTTACAAAGACCTTAACTATTACTAGCATAACACCTACACACATAGATAAAACAAACATGTTATGGTGAAAGTAATCTATCATTTCAACGAACATCTTATAAATAACAAATAATAATAAGAGAAACCATCGCTAGTATTTCATACATAACAAAGATGGTTTGATATGTTTTACAAATGTCGGCAAAGGAGAAGAATTTTCGTTGGCTTAACAAGTACTAAAGGTCAATAATATGAAAGCATATACAACTACACGTTATACCAAAAAAATCCTATCAAATTTATATTAATATCATCTACTAAGTTTGCAATATAATTAACAATGTAACAAAACCGGAATAAAACATTGCATTGTCCAACGACAATAATCAACTCAAAACTTTCTAAGAATACTATATCTAGTAATAATCCAAGACTCACCTAAGTCTCAGCTCTTTAGAATAATAATATTGAAATTATGATACATTTATGGAATATGCACAATTTATATGTACATGCATTCACGAACATGCACAATATTAATGACACTGAAGATCCACCAACAAGACTGCTTAGGAAACACTATACAACAACCAAAAGCACTGCATATATAGGATGCACTGAATAACACTGCATTACATTTAATATTCAACAGTCTATTGAATGGATAAATTCACAATGAAACAAATATAACGAATACAAAAGTAAAACAATCCTAGAAAGCAAGCAGAAATCAAACACACAAACAATGGGTAAAAAAATAAATTTAAATACATTAGATAAATATGTGTCAGGCCCCACAATTATACAAACAACAAGTACGTATTAAAAATTATGCAAACACTTAAAACTCCGTACCTATTAAGTATTAAATTGCGATAACAACCTGAAAGAGGGGTGGACAACATGATCCCAAATCGGTTCCAATATGGCCCTGAATTTACCATCCTGATTTAATCATAGCCATAGGATTTATTTTATAGATTAAGGATTAAAATCATTTGTAGAGGTTGATTAGTAAAATACTTTATATAATAAATAAGACAAACATAAATTCATGCATAATTTAAGGAGATATATATATATAATATTTTTTTAATTGTGAGATCACTTAGACAATCTCAAGCCACAAAAAAATAAAAATAATTATGCTCTCCGCCGATGTTGATCGATCCGAGAAAATAAACTCGTAAAGTTCAAGAAGATGGATCAAAATGATGTTTGTTCCCGTGAGAGTCAGCACCCTGTGGACGAACCTGAGGCTCAATAAAGTCACAAACACGGTAAGTTATTATTATTAGCATTTATCGCAAAAGTATCGTATGACCGATTTATTTTTACATCATATGTGTATTTATTGAACATCAATTATACATATACATACATCATACATTTATTAGTTATCCATCAAATTGTTGTTCTTGTTTTTATGGTGTTGAATCATAACCAAATTCTATAAAAACGAATGCAGATGTGTGGGGGGGCTAAAATATTATTTTTTTAGATCGATTTTAGATTTAATCAAGTTTTGTTGTGGGTAAAATATTACCTAAAAAATCACGATTAATGTGAATGTTATTTTGTAAAAATAATTCCGTTAATTGAGGTTAATCATGCTTTATGTGTAAATTTTGAATTTTATAAAGTGCAGAAGTTAAACTTGCTTATTATAATGATTATTTTAATGTTTAAAAAAACAACATCATAGTGTGAGATTGTGCATATCAATTTACAAAAATATGTATTATGATTACATTACTTTAATATTTGATCGGACGAGTCATATTGTAACAACATAGTTGAAAGATTGATTTAGTATTTACATAGACAATGAGTAGACGAATTAACATCATAATGTTATACTACGTACAACTATTCATGAAATTACATATATCGTATTTTACAATGTTGATTTTCATTCACTTTTCCAGGCGCCGATTACTAGGAGAACGCAACATTTTCAAGCCTAGACGATGCCTACACATTATATTGTAATTATGCACATAGACGGGGTTTTGTTGTGCACAAAAAAAAGCAAAATAATTCGAAGGTCGATCCTCAACAAGTGCAGTACATCCACTTTTGTTGCAGAAAAGAGGGGTACAAAAAAGGAAGTAGGGTTGATCCCAGAAATGAACATCACTCTTTAGAAGGTGTCTCAGGTCCATCTTATACAACCATGCTGAGAAGGAGATACGAAACATGTACTAGGTGTGCAGCAAGGGTGAAGTTGCAATTCAACAAAAAAATCCAAAGATAAACGGTCACCGAATATATGGACGAGCACAACCATGAACTGCATCCACCAGCCCATGCGCACATGCTTATTTCAAATAGGACCATAGATGAAGCCAGATGACAGTAGCTACAATTAATAAAGAGGCGGGACTTTCTTTAAGATCGTCATATGATGTATTGAGAATAGCGGCAGGCAACAAGGAGACGCTTGGCTTTCTTAAGTCTGATCTAAACAATCGAATTAAGAAAAAGAAGAGTGCAAGTCTAAAGTTTGGTGAGGCCGGGGCTATATTGAAGCATTTCAGCCAGAAATCAATTGAAAATCCATTCTTCTTCTACGAGGTTGACGTCGATGAGAAAGACAAGATTGCAAACATATTTTGGGCCGATGCAAAAATGAGGTCTGATTATGCTATGTATGGAGATTCTATTACCTTCGACACCACATATCAAACAAACAAAAACTACAGGCCGTTGGGTGAGTGTGCATTATGCATATGTCTTTTGTTCAATAATGTTCTATAACTAGTTTTGGTAATACCAATTAAATAGCGTACATACATCAATGTATATCTCTTTGCACCGTTCTGATGTCGTATTACATTTTTGAGATATTTGTAGGAGTATTCATCGGGTTTAACAACCACCACCAGACGTGTGTCTTCGGATCAGTTTTATTGTTTGAGGAAACACAAGAGTCTTTTAAATGTGTTTTTACAACATTCTTGAAGTGCATGTCTGGAAAGGAACCAAAAACAATTTTCACTAATCAAGACCTTGCAATGGCTCCTGCCATTAGGCAGACAATGTCAAATTCTTTTCACGTACTCTGTTCATAGCATATCCTGCAAAACGCCAAAAAAATATTTGAGTGCATTATACACGACAAGATATGAAGTTGCGAATTGTGTGATATGTTGTAATTAGAGGTAAAATATAGTGTGTTATTTATTGACGAATGATGTATGTACACGCAACTTTGCTGAAACATTCCAAAGACTCTTCTATGGTGTTCACGATGAATGTCAATTCGAACAAGAGTGGCAAATAATGGTGCAGACATGCTTCCTTAAAGGACAACATAGGTGGGTTGAAGGGATATATTCACTAAGGCATCAGTGGTCTTCTGTGTGGACAAGGAGCCAGTTTACCATTGGTATGCGGAGCACTCAGTTGAGCGAGTCATTGAATTCGTCAGTGAAGAGGTCTCTATACATACGATGTTAACATCGTTATGATATGCTTTCAATACCAAATTAATATATTGGCTTTATACTCATATTATGATGTATATTTAACAATCCATAGGTTCTTGCGTTTGGACAATAACATCGTCGAGTTCTTTGATCAGTTTGAATGGGTTTTGCAGTCTAAAAGAGATGTGGAAGAGTAGAAGGACTTTTACACACGGGATCATCACTTTGCAGCAATAAATCCTTTCAATCAAATTTTGAAATCAGCCTCAAATATTTACACAAAGAATGTCTTTGAGATTTTCCAAGACCAACACCAAAGATCTTTCGAATATATGGTCTAGTGTCTGAATCCAGGGAAAAAGTATGTTGTTTACCACAGTGAATGACTCAATGACCGATACATACTAAATACAGACCTGCAACAGTGCCTGATTGAAAGTACTTGTAAAACGTGGATAGATGTTAGGATATTATGCTCACATTCAATATGTATGATGGAGCTCCTAACAGCAACCGGACATCCGCAATTCAAGACTATTCCCGACAAATATATCTTACGTAGGTGGACAAAGAATGCCAGTCGACTAGAAGGATGTAAAAATGCCACGACGCCTGATATGGACTTCACTACAAGGTATAAGTCACTTTGCCAGCATTTCATGAACTCTGTCAAAACTATTGCATCAACCCAAACTACATATGACGACTTTGAATCAAGTTTTAGGAAGCACTCCGCAGAATATTGATCCATCCATGACTGCTGGTAAATGGTCTCTTACGCAAAAAAACATCTCACTTTTTTTTTATAACATCGTAATGATCTCACATCTTGCATCATATGTTAAATAACCCTATGTCATTATGAACACAGAACATACAAACGAACACATTGAGGCGACAAATCTGTCACTGAAAACAAAGGATACACACTAGGCCAGGGTCCGAAGAACTATGTCCATCAGCATGCGGAAGAAATGTAGACGACTAAACAAAAAGGGCACGGATGTTACAAGGAACACCGAGATCCATGAAATAAATTTGTTCCCACAAAACCCGTCAATGTGAATAGCATGCTTAAACTGACAATAAGAAAAGATCATATTGATATAGTTACCGTCCATTGAGTTTTGAACAATATATCAAACAAGCAATCAACATACATATAGGGAGAACAAAAAAGTTTATTCGTCAATATACCATTCATATAGTATACATATATACAATCGACATCATCTGGTATATTTAGATAGATCATATTAATATAAGATGAAAATCATTGGGTATACCAGTGTAAAAGTTACAATTTGTGCATAAAGATAGGTGTATACATTATATGATTCTATGGCAGCAACCATATCTAATTGCGATATACATCACACAATGAAAATATTTTATGGAAACAAACAACCAGTCACATCTAATATCTACATCATTCAACACTTGTATATATACCAGTAATATATCATACTTATTTAAAAATAGACCTCATCTACTATATACCCCTGATAACGGTATATCCATTGTATGATTCTAATACAGACACCATAATTATTCAAGACATACATCATAAATGCATATTAATTTTAAGCATAAGAACCAAAGTAACATCTAACATATATATTATTTTATCCTTACCTTACTAGAGCATACCAGTAACGTAGCATACCAATTTATGGTTGATATAGTTAAGTCTATATCGATACATCATACAAATATTCAGTAAAAAAAAGTAACATCTAGCATAGTTGTAAATATAATTTATATCCCTGGTTAATATAACAAAAATACATCGTGCAAAAGAGGAAACAATAAGCATTTCATCTATTCGAGATAAAGATATTCAGATAAATTGTAATTTCATCTGCCAGATTACTAACATAGACAAATTTTTTCAACAAGAAAACTAAACAATAATGCCTAATTACGGCCGAGAACATTGCAAAACATATGATGTCATAACAAAAAGGAAACCAAGTATGTTCGCACATCAACCAATCCTGCCCCTGCCCCTCCCCTTACCACGTGCAACAATACCTCTTGTCATATAACGTGATGGACGCTATTTTCTCTTTTCTGCTTCTTCTGCAGCCTTTTTCTTCTGAGCCTTGCCAGCGCACGCTCTTTCGATGCATATGCTCTTCCTTTCTCCCGAACATATTGGCCAAGTGCATTCTCTGGCTGTAAAATTAGCGCAACACAAATCTGTTTCCTCTTCATGTCCAATATGTCGAGTCTGCACATTTGCTCACAGACAACTGGGCAGATTTCGCGTGGCTAGTGCTTCATATAGAACATAGTAAAGACACCACAAATGTTGACATCTGGTTGCGGTATGTGAGGAGGAAGTTCAACGCTATACTCCCCATCCCATTGCCGGTCCGGATATAACGAAGCTCCTGCATGTTTGAAGTGTGAAAACAACTTTGAGAACAAGACCCAGTCACCCTCCCATGCTTCCCTTGGATTCAAGCTATTAAAGTAGGTCTTTTTCCTAACTACCGATATTGCAAACAGTATCCAATGATTCGCATGGCACACGGGAAGAAAAACTGCAACCATACACAAGGTATTCAAAGTTATGGTATTCGAGAAAAGTAAATCACACAATGATAAGACATATTCAAACTAATGTAACAACACTAGTGGAAAAATGATATTCGCAGAAATAAGATATTACGTTAACAATGAACGGCATTGATGTCATTTGTTTGAGCGGGCGTGTGGTGAAAAATAATTTTCCCCAAGAAAGAATCACACATTGCTGTAAAAAGTTGAAGTATTTACTCACATAGTCAGCCTTGAGAACATCCATCCAGTCATCCCCTAGGTCTGAATAAAGGAGAATAAATCTTCAGTCCACAATAACATCATCCAAATCATTTTCAGGTTTTTTGTGCTCAAGCTCTTTCGAAACCAAGTACTACATAAAAAAAAAAGCAGAGTTGATTGTTTGTGTAAGATATGAAGAAAATCAACTAATGAAAAATACACAGCAGAGTAAAAAAAGAAATGTGAAACTCACACTTATGGTCGCGGTAAAACAATATTTCAGCATTGGGCGCTTCTCTTATTTCGAAGCCTGAAGTTCTTTCCGGTTGATGTAAGAAGCCCACATGTCTATTATATTGTTGGAGATGTCGCCCCAAAACTTTAACATCTGCACATCGAATTTGAACAACGGTCGATCATTTTCGTTGTAGACAACAGGCCCGCATTCATCTCATTTGGGAGGATCGCCAAAAAAGGCCCATTTGACAATGCCCTTCTCCTCAGAACCTATCTTAAAAGATTCAGATAGATCATGTGATTTTTCATACGGCGAAGAAAGCATTTTTTACGGCAACCGCTCCCTGTGAAACTTCACTTCTATAACAGGGACAACCGCCATCAGGGGAACATCATTCCTCGTATGATCATAAAACATAGCATCATCCTTACCCATATGTTCACCATCCTCCATGGATTTATTAACCAGGGGATGATCCTTCAACGTAAATTCCTTGGCCAGTGCAATGTCATCAAATGACATGTATTCTTGTTAAGAGTTTTTACAACAAATATATATGCGTTGAACATTATATAATAATGTTGCATACATCATGTAATAGAATAAATTAGTACGTACCATTGCAATTGCAGCCTGGTCAACGATATCGTCTTGAAGCTCTTGTGTCATGCCCAAGAGAATAATTTCTCAACAGGGGTTAGAATTTTTTTAAGACAACTTCTCGAAGGTTTTTTGCTTCTTCATCGGAGGTGTTTCACTGATAGGTATAGATGGGCATTCATTATCCTTCGCAGCATTGTTTGAGGTTCGATATTGCTTGTCCTTCAATGATGGGTCCACAACATCTGTATGAATACGCGGATCAACATATCCTGTCTCCTTAAACTTCTCGTCACGTTCCTCTCTTAAGATACGAGCCTCGTCCAATAATCTTGCGATTTCACTGTCTTACCATTCCTTACTCTTGCTCGTCTCTTTCGCTGGATCACTCTGAAAATGAGTAAGATACAATGAAAAATTTACAATATATTGAATGCATCATAATCGGCATACTAATACATCAAAACATATAACTGAAAACAATATCATTAAAAGTATTAAGGTATTACAACAACCTTTTGATGGGAAGGTTGGGATGGACCCATAATCTCACAAATCTTATCTACAGATAGGGTTCTGAGTGAGCGTGTGTAAAAACGGCCAACCAACTGTTTTTTGTCAACCATGTCAAAGAACATATGCTGCAAAAGTATTGGATAATATATAATAGGTCAACGCACATGGCTTGTCGATCTACCTAACAAATCACAAAAGATGTTGAATATAAACAAGAAAGAGAAACTTACTACAAGAGCGTGCATGTCGCCACTAGGTCTCGCATTTTTCATGTCGTTTGCTTGCATCTTTTTACGGGTAGCCTTTATCCCCGCAATCAACTTGTCCTAGGGAAACCCAGCCCAGTTGTACTCGCTGGCTATTTTCTTAGTTTTAATAAATTCAATAAAGGGATGGCTTATTTGGGCATTTGAACCAGCAGCTAAAAGAGAGCAAATACAATACATAACATAGACTCTCCTAAAGTCTACCTTCCTCACCAATTTTTCACCATCCAGTAAATCTTTCAAATCACTATCTTTCACCACTTTCACATAATCTCCTATTAAACCATACTCCTTAGCAAACTCATCCGCATACCCATAATAATAATCTCCTTCATCTATCGATATAGGGCCCTATCACAACCATATGGCAAGCCATACACCCTATCAAAATCCTCATCTATTAAAACCCACTCTTCCCCACCAGAAAACACAAAACATTTTCGATCGACATCCCAAAAACTAATTAACTTCAAAATAGGATCTACACACATGGGCATCGGATTAACTAAAACAAGACCTCTAAAACTTGTTCCTCTTATAAAATACCTTAAAGCATCGCCGCTAGGGCGAAATAACTTCTCATTGTTGAAGTCGAAAACCTTTTTGGGGACACAAGAAACTTGTATGAACTTACTTCTCTTTGACTTGGACTTCACCGAATGCTTGGGAGCGAGATTCTTAGTTTTGGCCATTGGCGAAAGCGGCGAGTGTGTGGGGAGGGAATTAATTAGGGTGGGTGGCTGGAAATCGTGATTGAGGCTTTCGGTCCAACAGGATTGTGGATTAGGTTTTTTGGGAGGAATACGGGAGGCGAACGATGGCGGGGGTGAGTATTTGCCGGAGGCGACGACTGTCGGTGACGATTCCCGTAACTTTTTTACAACGAATGGGTAGGGCTTGGGTTATTTGGGAGGACAAAGAGATGCGAATGATAGATGTGGGGTGTGGTTCGCGTCAACGGAGTGTTGTCAACGGTGGTGGTACGCGGTCGACGACCGATGTTGGAAGTATGGAGGGGAAGAATCACGCGATGGTTAGGGCTCAGTGATTACCCTGTCGGTCGAAAAGAAAATTATATTAATCAATTAAAAAATATTTTTTTATAATATATTGCTTAACCATCATAACCCATTACTGTAAATATCAATATATTTATGGATAAATATATAATCAGTAGATAATCGTATATTGTTAATTATGAAATATTATTTTAATTAAGGAATATTCTAAAAATAATACATAGAAAGATTGAATTGTGAATATTGATTTTGCAATCATAATTCCGTTAATTGAGGTAAATATTGATTCGTGAATATTGATTTTTCAATCATAGAATCACATTAGTCAAACTTACCCGATATATAGTGCATATTGCCTCTATTTTTCTTATACATCATTATAATGATGCTATGCCAGCATCCGTAAACTGTAAGTACATGATAACGTGTTTTGAATGATTTTTATTTGGAAAGAGTTTAATTGCATACGTTCTTAATTTATTTGGGTTAACATTACCAATTATAACGTAACTATTTAATGTAATTAACTATTCCTAATTAATTGATGTTTAATTATCTTCTTCCAAAATTCCTACAATACTCTTATTGAATAACAACCATTAGATCAGATAATGTTTGATCGGGCGGTTACAATAGGTTTAGGATGGTGCTGAATAAAGGATAGGGTCATAAGGATACCAGCCCCCTTGTCAAATTGTTATGAATTTCAATTAGCCCATTTAAAGACAATAAATGAGGAATCCATTATGAGTTTGTAACCCTAGATAAGGATATTTAGATATCTTGTTTATAGGGTCTTTTCTTTTTTCTGTAAAAAATGATAAATAACCAATTATGAGTTTGTAACCCTAGATAAATACTCACTTCATCACTCCATGCCCGAGCTATTAAGTTCTGAACTATATGTCGGAGTCCAAGGTCCACCATCTGAGCACCAAATGTCCTTTGTGTTGAAAATCCCTAAGAGTCAAGATGACCCCCCTAACAACCTGCAGTTCGACATTCAAGTTATTTAGTTCCCAGTGAAAGATTAGTAATATGTATAATCCATACTCAAAATATAGCCGATATCAAAAGTCTTTCAAAATTGGGAGATTTTTTTAAGTAAACTGAACCATGAAAGAAATAACCGTAAAACTATAAGTTCACCATAATAAACACTATCGGTTACTTTTTCCTTTGAGGAACCTTTAACCAGTTTAATCAACTGTGGAAAGCACCTGGATAGCCAAGTACTCAACTATATAGCAGGAGACACTAGCAACAAATGAGTTCATAATTTATGTCTTTAATTGATACTACAATCAAACACTATAATACAAAAACAACATGTGCAAAAGTGGTGGTTACGATTTGATTTATCCTATGCACATTGGGTATTTGGACACAAAATTTTACATCATAACATGATCAACAAAGGGGCATGGAATTAAATGTTCATCAATAAGTAATTACCAATGCTCTAGAGAACATATATTTCTTGATCTTTATTTTCTAAGAAATTCAATAGTACGTTCTGTCAAATGAAGTCTTTGAGGTCTCGGTTCTAGTAAAACTAATACCATACAAGAAAATAACACCATATATAGGCCTCACTTGAACTTTACTTGGTTCTAGTAAAACTAAAACTATACAAGAATATAAGACCATATATAAGCCTCCCTTGAAGTTTAGAATATAAATACAATATGCCATTTCTGATCTCATAGAAGAGAACTAATACATTTAAGAGCACAAAAACAAACTTGTGAACACAACCATTCAACCAGTTCTTTCAAAATATCATATATAGTTTGATCTTCTTCTCTAAACTTGATGCCCCATTAGCAATGGCACCATCATGAGCTTTAGGTCTTCCACTGGAAATGTAGAAACAAGAATGGTATGTAAGCCATATCTAACTAATAGGATATAAATAGAGAGGCATACCTCACTATAAAAAAAAACAAAAAAAAAAGAAAGTATTTTACAGCTCTTCTCTTGTATAAACCAATTACCTTCAGAGAGCAACCTGCAGAGTAAAAAGGATGAGCATGCAGCTGTTATTATGTGAAAGGAAAACACCAAAATACAAAAAAAAAAAAAAATGCCAATTTTCTGATCATCCTTAAATGTACGAAATTACTTAAAATTTTGAGATATTGAAACGCAAGTTGAATGCATATCAACTATAATAATTCAAACATATTTACAATATTTATTTGTTTTCTATCATCGATAATTCGTGGCCCTGATATATTGTGTTGATTTGGGAAAGTACATCTAAGAGACCTAAATGAACAACAATAGATATAATATGCAACAATAAGTGAATGATGGCCTTAGGAAAAGGCTCGTATATGTCCTCATTAACAATGGTCTTATCATGAAAAAATGTAGCTCTTTTAGAGTTTGCTGCCATTGTAAAATCACAAAAAACGAAAGACATTAGTCACTTGAAATATAAAAGAAAATGAAAATTAAATCCAAATTTGAAAGTTGTACGGTATGGATATGGGTGAGTTGTGAGATTACATTGTAATAGTAAAAGCAGCAGCAGAAGGCAAGCATGTTGGCGTCCCTATTGCCAGTTGACATTTATGTACCACCTATCATCTGCTTTGATTCTAATTTCATTTCTAACTAGTGAACAACTATTGAAATTTTGAACTCCTACTTTATTACTACTACAATTATTTTGTACAGTCCTTTACTCCTAGTGTAGTAAGAATATGGAAATGGTGTAGTAGTTGTCTCCCTCCCATTCCCAGGACAAGAATACAAAATTTACAATCAGTGTGTTGTCTCCCATCTATGATTTATCTTACTTAATTAAATCACCCCACCAAAATAAATAAAGAAATAAATTAGTATTCCTCAATTCTAGCAACTCTGTAAATACTTAGAATGCAAATCTTTTTCGTTGCGACTGAAAATGTGTTATGGCACAATGTGAGATCAGCATTAACATATGCATAAATAGTACACCGCCTAAGCAAAATGGAATCATTTTTCTCATCTGATTTTTCCTTAAGCCTCTAGATGAATGAAAACATAATCACGATCATAGTTCTTCTATGGTTATTGCAAGATAGAAAGTCTGTCAAAATATGGCCAGCAACCTAACTATGTTTACATACACATTTATTTTAATTTCGATGCTATTCGTAAACATTAACTTTATCTCTATTAAATGACTATCTTTTTTCACAAAACATCACATTAAATATAAAAAGTTTCAAAAATTTCAAAGTTGTAACAACTTCTATTTAAAAGCAGCAGATATGAAACTAACTTCCAATGGTCAAAAGAATGAATAAAATAAAATTAAGAAGGTATACATATAGAACAACATGGAATCAAACAATTCCAAGGAAAATCAAACAATATTCACAAATGAATCAACAACCACATCGGAATCTAAGATCACCACATTCCCTCCACATTAAAAAACATCAGACAATCGAAAATTCAGTCAACTAAACTAAAAATAAAAAATAAAATCACAGAAAAAGCCCCAATTACCGTAAGAAAATGAATTCGATTTTAAAGTCTCAGCAGTTCATTCTTTACCTCTTCAAATTAAACTGAACCCTGGTATTAATCCATGCAAGAAGTTTATATCTCCCCACAAAATGCGCACTATCCATCATACCAATATTCGACGCCATTATTCAAAATTTTGACCAGAAAGTAGTACAAATAAAATTTCCCTGTGCAGATTAAATAATTTGTTTCCAAAAAATCAACATTAAAAATTATGGAGAAAATTCAAATATTATTAGTGGTCACAGTTAAACACAAATCCATGGCCAAACGCAAATCCAAATAAAAAAAATTCACAAATTAATTATTCTATGCTTCATTGTCTTTTCCCCTATATAAGGCACGAACACAAATTGAACACAAATTTGGGTTCTACCCCAACCCTGTGGATGGAAAAAATGACAAGCAGTTGTTAAGGAAAGCTTCATGTGGCATTTGTCTAAACTTGCTATTTACCCATTAAATATGTGAACAAGAAGATTATCCAAAAACCTAGAACACTCAACACCTAAAAATTGATTTTCATAGCTACACCATAGAATACCTAGGTTTTAACTCACCGTTTGATTTCATGAGAACAACACCACAGCCAAGAAAATTCACACCGTCAATAATGACTAGCTTCGAACCAAGGACGGATAGAGCAGAGGATGTGACAAAATTATTGTAGCGGATTTGATTTCGCTAGAAAAGGACATTTTTTTTCTTTTTGTAGTGATAATATCTATATACATACTAACATAATATATACTCCATCCGTCCCAAACACCCTGCAACATTTCCTTTTTTGTTTGTCCCAAACTCACTGCAATATTTCCAAATTTAGAAATAATTAATAATATTTATATACATATATTAATATACACTTCACTTTATCTCATCACATCACTCAAATAAAAAAACAAATAATCATTTCTCTCTCCAATCACATCATTTAATATCCAAATTATCTCAAATTACCATACTTAATACTCTCCACCTAAATTCCCGTGCCAAACACAAGTGTTGCACGATGTTTGGGACGGAGGGAGTATAATATATACTATGATCATTCACAAAAAAGTCAATTATTTAATACAAAATATTATTTTTATATTATTGACACGATTTTCTATAACTAATATAAAAAATAAAAAATGAACACACCTATAGATATATGTGTTCATTAATTAGGGTAAAATGTTTTTTAGTCCCGTAAGTGGAGCCTATCGCAAACTAGTCCCATAAGTGAAAAGTTTTCGCTGTTTTAGTCCTCCGGCGCCGGAGATGCCACGTGGCTCGCCGGAGGTGACACGTGGATTTTTTTTATTTTTTTCATTTTTAAAAATTTTTTTTAAAACTTATTTTTAATTTATTTTTTATTTTTAATTGTATTTTTTTTATTTGGTCCAATTAAAAAAATTTAAGAAAATGAAAATAATGAAAAAAAAAAAAATCCGCGTGTCCGCCAGGTGTCGCTAACCTGGCACGACACCTGGCGGACACGTCACCTCCG